CCCCACTGGTCCAAGCCTTGGGGTGGGCCCCGCCCCATGCCGCATATATGCCTTCCAAACGTTCATCCCCCTACCAAGGGACTGCTGCCAAGATGGCTTTACACTGGTGCTCGTTTGTTCCTGATGCTTCTTGTAGCATGAACATACTAACCGTAAGTCAGTCGCTAGTTTTAGATATTTATGTATTGTACTGTGTTTTTATGCTGTTAGCCGCCCTGAGCCTGCCTTGGCAGGGAGGGCGGGGTACAAATCCGAGTAAATAAGTAAATAAATAAACAGGCTCCCGAGGACGACATATTGAACTGGGGCAAAAAGGGCAGGCATGAAATTGCAATGAATATCCCAAAACCTTCGTACACGAGAGCCAGATAAACTGAGCACTGATTCTGTGCTTCTTCCGGCTTCTCCTCGTAGAATTTAAACTCAGTTTGCCATCTTCTGTGCCCTGGCTTCCACAAGGACCTTTGAGCCAAACATGTCACCCGTGAGCTCTGTTTCTCCGACCATCCACGAAAATCGAAGTGCTCTTTCGACCGCATCCCTTGTGGTGAACAAGGATTGCCCATCTCCTAGACAAAGTTTCTTATGACGTCTTAGGATGTGCTAATACCGTGTTTCCCCGAAAATAAGACACTGTCTTATATTTATTTTTTCTCAAGAAGACACACTAGGGCTTATACCACAAATGCATAGAAATCCTGCTAGGGCTTATTTTTGGGGTAGGTCTTATTTTCGGGGAAACAGGGTAGTACAGCGGCAACACTGAGCAGTGCCAGACATTTGTAAGACTTGCTTTAGGAAAGCTGTGGCGTTTCAACAAGGGGGGGGCGGAGGTATGAGCCCAGTCTGGTTAGCAGCAAAGTCAAAACTGAGCACATTACAACTTCACCGGTCTGAGATCAAATCTTGGGGTTTTTTTGTTGGAAAGGTGACGTTTGCATGAACACAGAAGGCACTAACTCATAATTTGATCAAAGTACGATAGTTTCGCTTCTAGGGAGAATTCAAGCTCGATGATACTATTTTGGTATTCTTAACCCTAAGCCTACAAATACCCATAGACATTCTTTTAGCATTCTTTTTTTTTTTTAACCTTTGGATTTTGAGCCTATTAACAGAAAACTCTCCATGTACTTGTGGGCTTTTGCCTTAAAACCAGAAGGAAGAGAAGGATTTCCTTTACAAGAAAATAGAAATCCCCAGGATTTTAACGCGAGCTCACAGGGTATTATAAGTATGCCAGGGGCAAAATACTGCTTCCCCCCTTCAGGAGTACCTATGTTTAGTTTCAACACTGAAAAGTCAACACAGGATGGTATGCAATGCAATCCTATGCAGGGTTACACCATTCTAGAGCCACTGACTTTAGTGAACTTAGAAGGGCAGGGCGTAACTCTTTTTTAGGAGTGCACTGGTTAGAGAGCAATCTTCAGAAGGTCTACTCTGGATCCTACTCAGATCTATCCAGTGGGCTTAGTCCAAGGAAAGTGCCTTTAGGATTGCACTGTTAACCATGGCCATTTCCACATGATAAAACTGTTCCGAATAAAACGTCACTTAGTGACAGCAGAGGCTTGAGAACTAGATCAGCTTTTCCCACTGGGTGGGGGAGGGACCGGCTCTTAAGATATGTTCCCCGTATGAGAGTGGAGCAGGACAAATAATCCTGTGACAGCAAAAACAAGCTCTGTCACCGGGCCCGCCTTCCACACGCACGGTTGGAAGTCACCACCCTGCCATGCCTCTAGCAAGTCCAGACATGCTCCTCTCTGCTGTATTTCATCCTGTGCATTACTTCCTCAATAGCTCCTGCCATTGCGAAAGGAGAATGTCTTTGAACGCCTTTAGAGCTAACAGTATCCGGGCCCTGTTTATCTGCCATTGAGGAATCGGCTTGCAATGTCAGAGCCAAGTGCGGATTTGATTGACTGTGCGGATTTTTAAAAACATTGCTTCAGCAGCAGGGAAACTGTAGTAGAAGAAGAAGAGATTGGATTTATACCCCGCCCTTCACTACCCAAGGGAGTCTCAGTGCGGCTTACAAACTCCTTTCCCTTCCCCTCCCCACAACAGACACCCTGTGAGGTAGGTGGGGTTGAGAGAGCTCGACAGAAACTGTTCTTTTTTTCAAGAACAGCTCTTATCAGAGCCACGGCTTGCCCAAGGTCATCCAGCCAGGTGCAAGTGGAGGAGTGGGGAATCAAACCCGGCTCTCCCAGATTAGAGTCCGCGCACTTAGCCACGACACCAAACTGGCTCACATAGCAGCCGTTGCATGGCAGGCTCTGGTTCCTATGGCAGCCATTTTTGTGGCAACTGTTACGTGGTTGTGCCCACTGTGCTGTGTCAGGATTCCAAAGGTGCCCACGGGCTCAAAAAGGCTGGGGACCCCTGGCGCAGCCCGATCTCATGAGATCTTGGAAGGTAAGCAGGGTCAGTGCTTGGATGGGTGACCCTCAAGGAAGGCTGCAGAGGAAGGCCACGGCAAACCACCTCTGCTTCTCCCATGCTTTGAAAGCTCCTTGACAGCACTGGCGTTTGTACCTAAGGCGGTTCCCATTCCAGAAAGAATGTGGTGGGAGGGTGAATTTTCCTAGCAGATCTGGCTGTGAGGTGGCTGATCCTGTGTATATAAGCTCTTTGGTGGATTAAGTCTGAAAGCTTTCACATTGAGAAATTGTATGTTTTAGATCTTTTACTTTTGGCCTTTACAACTTGGCCGCTACCCTGTTTGCCACCTTAAGTCCAAGGAGATAAGGCGGGACAGAAAAACCTTAAATAAATAAACTTACACGAGAACCCCGGTTAGCATTAACCTTGGCTGGTGCACTAGCAATGCTCAACCATGGCTAATGCCCCCAAAGGGAAGGGAGCACACATTCCCCAGCCAATTTACCAACCATGTTTTGCGGGAAACCAGCATTATGTCTGCACCAAACCAGGGAGTAGGGCTTCAAAGGCATATCTGAGTGCTAAATTTTTTATTTTAACAGATCGAATAAAGTTCCAATACTCTGTTGGGTTTGGACCTTCAGACACTGAGGGAGAGGAATGCAGCTTTCTGGACAGTAACACTGAACAACAACAAAAAGAATGATCTCTTATCAAATGCAGAGCCCTTCTGAAAAAACATGCCATTGTGGAACCACTGGAGTAGCTAACTGCCTGAGCTTATTTCCATTTAGTCTGGTCCTACTAGCTGTACAATTTATTCACTTGGGCTGACACGGCAAAGGAACACAAAGGAGGCAAGTGGGAACTGTGTGAACTACCTAGCAACACCCAAACCTGGAAAAACAGGAAATGGCACCCTTTAACTTGTCCTATGAATTCAATCAATGGAGTCCTGGCCAAAACTTGAAGACTGAAGGATTCTTTCATGAATCTGTAGCTGTTCTGCATCTTCAATTTCATACCTGCCACAAACCCAGAAGTTCCTAAGAAAGGAGTTGTTGACATCTGCCAGGGGTACCATGACTGCTAACTCCACCCCATTTAGGTTTACAAGAGCCTTGACCGGATTGGATCATTGACTCCCAATGGGAACAAAGTACAAATCACATTCTGAAGATTGCCCAAGCTTGAAATCAATAAGGAGGCAGTTTGCTTTCTTGTCTTTTTGCTGAATGATAGTCAAAGAACTGTGCAGGACAAAGTGGTCTTGTTTCTTATTTACTTGATTTCAGTGTTTGAGGGGTTTATCTATTTATTTGTTTGTTTATTTAATTCGATTTCTATCCTGCCCTCCCCATGAACGGGCTCAGAATTAAAACAATTAGAACAGAATTAGAACAAGCCTGTATTTTCCCTCTCTGGTAATGCTTAAGAAGGTTTAAACCTTCCTCAGTTCAGGGAGGCTGTCTTTAGAGCTCCTGGTCTTCTAAACCAAGGGATGGTCAAAGGGAAGCTTGCAGGTATCATTCAATGTCCATCCTGATTCCGTTCAAGTCTCCTCTGCCCTTCTTCTGATGTGATGATAGAACCAAAGATGCTGGAAAGCCCAACTGTACTAATGTGGTATATAACGTGGTCTATATGAATGTTAAAATTGGATACCCAAAGGAGTGTGAGTAATGGAATCGTAACAAAACTGTATGCAGAGGAAACAAATACTTTAGACATGATCAGACATCTCCCAGGAGTCTGGTACCTTTCCTGTTTCGACATAATCCTCTTCAAATATTTTCACAAACCTCTACAGATACAATGTTGCTGACTTAATATCAACATATCAATTGCGATTGCCACAGATGTGATATCAAAAGCTCTTAGATCAAAAGAAGCCACAGACCAGCTTAGGAGGCCTCAAGGCGATCACTGCCTCCAACGATGTTTCACACCCAAAAACTCAGTTAATTCCTTTTGTGGCTTCCAAACAATGAACGACAGTCACAACAGTTAACTATTTATACTCTTTCTCTCTGTGTAAAATTACATGCCACATGAGTGCAGTTGTGCATTTGGGGTTCTATCAGATCTGTGGCCGCTATTCGTTGTTGTTTGCAATCTCCACTTCTTACCTGGCAGGCGCTCCTCCACCAGAAAAGGATGTGTCATGTCTAGAGGCAGCCAGGTAAGACGTGGTGCCTCACAGGCCACCCTTGGACTGGATCATGCAATTCCTCAAGCAAGATGGAAAAACTGGCAGAGTGCTGGCAGTCTGGTGAGCAGTGCTCCAATGACAGGAGGGGCACCAGCCAGCAAGAGTGTAAAGCTTGGCTCTCCTCAGCCAAGCTAATTGGTATGTACATCTGAGGGGTAGAGAAGAATAAAGAAGCCACGGCCTCAAAGCGTCCGGCTATCCCATGCTGAAGAATCTGGCAGTGGCTGCTTTAAAGCAAAAGCAATCCGTGCAAATATTTTAATGTTGCTTCTCTTGTTATATCTTTCAAAGAAATACGCTAGATGGGATTCTGAGGGCTTCTGCCTATGGAAGGAATCTTTAGCTTACACTTTTCAAAAAGGATGCATTACTGAAAGCAAGTTTTGGTATTGGCTGCAGTATTTTATCTCGTTTTTAAATATGATACATACCAGTTCGATTTAATTAAAACAAAACAAAAAAACAAAACATACTTCTGGCCCAACCTTCGCTCCCTGAAGACAGCTTGAGAGAGAGTTCTGTAAACGTAGCACATGGCTCCATATGTAACAAAGGTATTCCTCCCTCCCCTCTATTCTAAAAGCAACCCACCCCTCAACTAAAACCATCGAACAAACCTCACCCCATTGCTGCCACTTTCCTTTGGTATCCTTTATCCCGACCCATCTTGTACACCTTCAAAATCTTCCTTATGCTGGAAGGGAGGAAGACAAACACTTTCGCAAAAGGAACGCTACAATCATACCTTTTTGTTTTTGCACTTATTTTTCTCCGGCAATATGAGGAAAACAATAAAATGCACCTGTGTCCTTACAAGATTTTAAAAAATAAAACATAAGGCAATAACATGACGTATCCCCTAGCAGTAGAGATGTGGAGGGGAGCTGTATCTGAGGGGTGGGGGTGGGTTTGTAATTCCAAATCTTGGACTTGCTTTTCCACTTCTGCTAACCAAGACTAAGTCAGCTGCATGAGTCGGCGACTCAATCCCCCTTTCCCAAGAGTGACCAAATTCCAAGAGTGACTAGAACCAGCACCAAACTCTTGGCGCAGCACAGCAAGATTACGGTTCCCCACAACCCAGGAACTTACATGTCAGTCTGATTTTGAAAGCCTACGCCTAACATGCCGAGGGGGTTCCCAGTTGTCACTGTCATCCGTTTCTTCATCATCCTCTTCCTCTTCATCGTCCTGCTCATCCAGCAGCTCCTCCTCTTCCTCCTCCTCCTCCTCCTCAAACAGCTCGAGGCCTTGTTCAGCTCTTCTCTGCATATCTGCAAACCACTCCCTGACCTGCTCGTATCCCATATGCGATCTGGCAACCAGCTCGTCGAGGTCCTGTTCGTTAAGGAATTTGTGTTTTAGGTAATAATCCTTCAGGATCGCCTTTCCAGTTTTAAATTTGATGACCGGAGTCCGGTCCCAGTGTTTGATCCTTTTGTTCCCTCTTGCTCGCCCACGAGGCCTTCCTCTCCCTCTTCCCTTTGGTCTTCCTCGCCCTCTCCTCCTGGAACTGCTTTGACCATTCATACTATTTGCATTGGGCCCTTGATAGGAGTAGTACCATTTCAAGCCACCGTTCTTCCATGCGTAACGAGTATCTCCAAACCAACTAACAATCTCTGGCCGAGGAAGTCCACTTTCTTCAGCCAGCTTGTCATATTCTTCCGAAGACGGCCACTGAGTCCGGACAAACGACATTTTCAGCATATGGAGCTGCTCTGGTGTCTTTTTACTTAGCTTTCCTGACTTCTGAGCCCCTTCGCCACCAGATGTCTCTGTGGATGTTTCCTTTGAGATGCTTCCATTGCTCTCATTTAGTTCCTCACTTTCCTCGCTTAAATTTTTGGATTTCTTCTGTTCGGTGAACCAAGCATCAATCTCTTGTCTGGTCAGATTAGTTTCTGACATTATTCTAGCCAGTTCATCATCTGTAAGGATGGAATTATTGTGAAAACTGTCTTCGAGGACTTGCAGTTGCTTGGGGGTCTTCTCTTTGAATTTCAGTGGGGTGCCATCACATGCATTCCATGATTGCTTCTGCTGAGGCGAGGCCAGTGTTGGGGACTCATTTGTTTCATCACTCGAATCAATGATGATAGTGCAAGAATCATTGCTAAGATTATTATAATGGTTATGCTTTGAGTTTCGCTGGTTGTACCTGGTGTCACTGAACCATTTTTTGATCTCCCCTTTCGTCAGGCCTGTTATTTTCATGAGCCTATTTATCTCAGAATCTTGAGGAAAGTGATTTTTAAGGTAGCTGATTTTTAGCTCCGTCAGCTGTTCTTTTGTTTTCTTTGCACGCACTCCAGCAGTGTCTGCATTTGCTACAACCACTTCCGATTTGGTAGGCTGAGGGGCTGGGACAGCGGCTGGGACAGTGGCTACTTGCTTGGTTTCAGCAACAGGCTGTGCAGTTTGGACTTGCGCCTTCTGCAGCTGGGGCTGATTTGGGACCCCCGCCACAGTCAAAGCTATTGGCGCTGTCACCGGAAGCGTACCTGCGCCAGCAACCTGCGTAAGAAGTAGGCTGGGCTGACCAACAATTTGGCATGTCTGCAGAATGGAAGGCAGACCGTTGCTAGCTGTTGAAATGTGCGCTGGAATCACCGTAATTGTCTGAGGGACCGTGTGCACGGTGCCATTGAATTGCTTCCTCCTTGCTTCTTCCACTTCCTCAGGTGTCCAGCTGACCCCATGTTTCAGACGCTGGGCAGAGAACCAGATTTTGATCTGTTCCTCGGTATATTTCGCTTGATTAGCAAGAAGTGTGATCTCTGACACGGTTGGATAGGGAAACTTGTTGTAGGTGTTAAGCAAGAGGGCGTTGTTATCCAAAGCACTGTTGTAGGTCGGAATGCTGTTGACAGGGATCAAGACTTTCGAAATTAAGTTGGAGTTCTGCGGAGATGCTATGGTGGCAATAACTTGTGTAGGCTGAATCACTGCGGTGGGATTCACAATTGTGCTAATGGTTTCCGTAGCTGGCGTATTACTTGTGCTGGTGTCTGAAACGGAAGAAACTGGCTTTTCTATTATTTCCTCACAATCTGGGTCAGTCTCGGTATCTTTTTCTTCCCCAGGACGTTCCTCAGCAGCACCGTGAAGAACAGCAATCCGCTTGGTCTCGTTCTTGTTTTTCATCATTTTCATAATGGGGGTTTTGCTAATTGAGATGCCCGAATAGGGAGACTCAGATGCTTCCGTCTCTTCAGCTCTGTCCTCGTGCACGAAACTCCCGTCGAAAGTAAGATCATTCACCGTTTGCTCGAAGACTGTCTGATTGTTACGTTTCACCATGGTCAGTTTAAAGTTCTCCTCTCCTGGGTGGTACTTCACATTATGTTCCGAAAGAGCATCATACCTTTTGGTAACAAACTTGCATTCGAGACAGATGTAAGAGGAACTTAGTACGACATTGGGGTGTTCAGAATCGACGTGGAAAGTAAACATATTGAGATCTGTAGTCTGAAATGTGCAGTATTTGCATTCGTATCCTCCTTCAACTTTTTTGTTTTGCTGATTGTCCGGGTCCACATATTCTCGAGAATCCTCATCGCTCATCACACTTCCAGCTGGTGTGATCACAGGTGGTCCTTCCTCAACATCAGACACGGCTTCCAATTCTGGGTCTGGCTCACTTGCAAGGACCATGCAGGGTACAGTGGATTTTCGTTTACTTGCCATTCTGCTGCAATTAAATATATATATCAATGGAACCGATGTTGGTACTGCCACTTCAGAATTTCCAGATGCTTGGTTTTACTATAATGGCTTTCAGGTACAATAAGTCAATGCATGGCAAACTCCGCACATTTATCGTGTTAGCAGCATTGTTGTAGTGCAACCTGGTCAGACTGTAACTTGGCAGTCCGAAGGATAAAAGAAAGAGCAGCAACTTCTTAACATCTGCACCTGCGTTACAAAGAGAAAAAAGAAGAGAAAATGAGATTGTTTATATGGAGTGGCTGCTGTTGCCAAACACCTTCCTACATCTTCAGTTGTATCTTATTCCAGCTATTTCAACAAGACTACCACAGGAATGTTGCAACCCGGGTACCACTTATGGAAATCCAAGCAAGACACAACACACCAGGGAACTGATCCTGACCTGGATGGCCCAGGCTAGCCTGATCTCGTCAGATCTCAGAAGCTAAACTGGGTCAGCCCTTGTTAGTACCTGGATGAGAGACCACCAAGGAAGTCCAGCGTTGCTATGCAGAGGCAGGCAATGGCAAACCACCTCCATTCGTCTCTTGCCTTGAAAACCCTAATGGGTTCCCAATAAGTTGGCTGCGACCTGACACACAGATATCAGGGGACTCAGTAAAGCATCCTCGTAGTGCTGCCTGCCTATAACTGTAGGAACAACGGTGGTCTGTCCCCCCTGTCCCCCCCAATTTAATTTTATTTTTAGAGAATTAGATTACGGAGTTGCTTAAAAATACATAAGATACAAATAATAAACAACATAAAAGTGATATCAGAAAAATCTGGAACATTCAAGGTTAACAATGGAAAAACATAAGCCAAGCCAAATTTTGAAAATATATAAATTCAGAAAACAAATTTAAAACTAGTATGTTTTCGTAAGTAGACATGAGTTAATAGCACCAATATTCCTAAAAACTATAATTTGTAGGTCAAGTCAAATTAAGAATATATATATATTGAAAACAAGTATAAAGCCAGCATACTCTCATAACAAAAACAAAATTTCAAGAGAGCCAGTTTGGTGTAGTGGTTAAGTGTGTGGACTCTAATCTGGGAGAACCGGGTTTGATTCCACACTCCTCCACTTGCAGCTGCTGGATAACCTTGAGCAAGCCGTAGTTCTGACAAGAGCTGTCCTTGAAAGGGCAGTTTCTGTCAGAGCTCTCTCAGTCCCGCCTACCTCACAGGGTGTCTGTTGTGGGGAGGGGAAGGGAAATGAGTTTGTAAGGCACTCTGAGACTCTGAGTGGAGGGCGGGGTATCAATTCAATCTCCTCTTCCTCTTCTATATTATAATATCAATATATCAATTGGATATGATCCATTTAGAAGCGATTCATTAGCAGAGATAAACTCAATTACTGGGAACCAAGTTTGAATAAAAACAGACATTTCAGAGCTATCATTGCTTGTGGGCAAACTATCTAGAATCTTTTCCATTATGTACCTATCCCAAACACGATGGTACCAAGTAGATATAGATGGAGTTTTAGAGTTTTTCCATGCCACACCTATAGACCACTTCGCAGCTGAACATAACAGCAATCAGATTGCATCTAACAAGTGGAACAGACGAATGTTGCCATAAATTTAAAAGCATAACCTCTGGGGTAAAAGGAATCAAATAACCTGTTATCCTATGAATATTTTGATGGACCAGTCGCCAAAAGATCTCAATGTGTTTTCAAGTCCACCAGTTAGGCATAAAAGAGCCATCCTCCCCACAGCCTTTCCAACATAGAGATTGACATGTCGAGTTAATATGATGTAATCAACTTAAAGGTCTGAGTTTGTATATTTATCGATTTTGACCTAAAAGGAGTTGAGTTCCAAATTGTAGACCAATGTATAGTAGATAGATTAACATTTAGATCATTATTCCATGAATGAACATAAGAGGGTAGGGATCGTCCACTCAGTCCTAGTAAGTTTATATAAAATTTACCAGCTGCAGTATTAAATTTGAGTAACTTTTCAAAACCTGTTAAGTTTCTCAGTAAACTGTCTCTAATCCCTGAATTGTCAATAAGGTGTCTGAGTTGTAGATAATGAAACCATGGAATAGGTTTCCCCAGCTATGAGTCTAAATATATCTTATCACAAATAGTGCCTTCTGATGTTATATCCAGAAAACAGGTAAGATGTGATGATCTCCAGACTTGCAGATGGGCTGGCCATCACCCAGGTTCAAGCTTTGTTTGTACAACAGTTAAGTTCCAATTAGCACCTCATTCGGAAATTGCCATTAACATACATTTCTCTATGTTGAAAACTGGTTTTAATTCAGATCAGCTTCTCAATTATCCTATAGCCTTATATTGTTTGATCAAACCCTTCAGAGGGAAAAAAAACAGCTAGTACATTTTTTACAACAATTGCTTCCATTCATTCTTAAACCCTAGGGTACTCAAGCTCTGGTACCGCCATTAGACTCCTCATATCTTGGTAAGTGTTCCTTATTCTCAGGTATGTTGACAAGAAGGAACATGACTAAGTGTGTCCAAGAAGGAGGAGACAAAGAGTAATGGCAAGAGAAACACAAGCTGCACAGGCCATATTTATTGAGAAGAAGAAACTCCTAGCTTACTTACAATGTATAAATACTCAAAGCAGGCTTGGCAGGAACAGTCCAAAAATATAGGGTGCCCTAGGCTAGGGTACCCTATCTACCATACCGCCACACTATGGGGAGGCTGGAAAAGTGCACCCCCACCTCCCCCAGTGCAGGGAGGTAGGACGACCATGCTCACCTTCCTCAGAGATGCAGCGAAGTAGGTAGCTCTTATGGACGGGCATGAACTGGCTCACAAACTAACATTCGTCATGAATTTTGGCAGCTTTGTGATTCACAAAGCAACGTTCGTGAACTGAAGGGCTGCCACAAACTTCCACAAATTTCGATGCAGTTCATGGCAGACTGTGAAGAGAAGAAAATGGGTTTACTTGGCTCTGAGCCATTTAAACCCCTGCTTTCTGCTCTTCAAGAAAAACAGCTGTTGGAAAGCCACGGGGAGCAGAAAGCAGGGATTCAAATGGTTCCAAGCACTTTCACCCCCAGCTTTCTGCTCACTGCAGCTTCTGGTAGCGAGCAAAAAGCAGGGGTAAAATGCCTCCCAGCTATTTCACCCCCTGCTTTCTGCTCCCCTGGCTTTTAGTGTGGAGCAAAAAGCAGTGGTTTAAATAGCGCCAAGACACCTAAACCAAACAGCTGTAGCCTTTTCCCACCTCCCAGATGGTCAGGCAAGGCAGGGAGAAAAGAGCTGGGCCTGCCTACAGCACACACCCTGATGAAGAGAGCGAAGGAGGGAGCAGGCTCCCTGCCAGCCACTCACTGGGACAGACCCCAATATCACAGGCAGCAAGGCGGGTTGCTGCCCCTGCACCTCTGGCACACTGAATGGGCTGCCCCTGGGGCTTGAAGGCACTTAGAGGATGTCTGCAAACAGTTCTACATCCAGCCAGTTTGGTGTAGTGGTTAAGTGCACGGACTCTAATCTGGGAGAACCGGGTTTGATTCCCCACTCCTCCACTTGTACCTGGCTGGATCACCTTGGGCAAGCCGTAGTTCTGATAAGAGCTGTTCTTGAAAAAGAGCAGTTTCTGTCAAGAGCGCTCTCAGCCCCACCTACCTCACAGGGTGTCTGTTGTGAGGAGGGGAAGGGAAAGGGGTTTGTAAGCCGCTCTGAGACACCTTCAGGTAGTGAAGGGCGGGGTATAAATCCAATCTCCTCTTCTTCTTCTCTTCTTTAGGGTAAGATCGGCATTTTTTGTTACACAGCAACCACAAGCAACATCATGCCAACCAACACACAACCTCCATTTCAAGCAGTCACCTCTACATTTCCATGCAATTAAGGCCTGACCTGGATGGCCCAGGCTAGCATGATCTCATCATATCTCGGAAGCTGATTAGTACTTGGATGGAAGGCCACCAAGGAAGCCCCGGGTTGCTACGCAGAGGCAGGCAATGGCAAACCACCTCTGAATGGCTCTTGCCTTGAAAACCCCATGGGATTGCCATAAATTGGCTGTAACGTGACAACACTTCCCACCACCAAAGCCTGCAAATCGCCTCCCAGTCAGCAACCAAGTCTCATTAGTTCCTAAGGTTGCTAAGGACAGTCGGCCAATTATTTTTAAGAGCATGTAGAGCAAACTCATCAGTCACCCAGAGACAGACATAAGCCCACTGGATATAGTTGTTTATTTCAGAAAAATCTGTATGCGGCTTCTCGAGACCAGCTCACGGCTAAAACAATAAAACAGAACCAAGCCACGCAAACAACAAATCATGCCAATAAAAACAAATCAATTAACAAGTCAAGTCAATAAAATCATGCCAATTAAAGCAAGCCTGGGCACAGAAACAGCCTAAAACGAGACTGATAAAACAGTCCACAGGCTAGAAGCAGTTGCAGTGGCTGGATTTACTGGGAAAAAAATGGTAAAACATTCTTTAAAATGGGGATGGCTGAATAACATGTGCTTAACCCCGGGGGGGGGGGGCACGGCAAGACCCACTTACTGGAGAGCCCTCCCCCTACTGCAAAACAAAACTATCTACTTTTTAGACATGGATTCAATCAAGCCATTTTTCAACTTTGTGTTAACAGAAATGACCATTCAGGTCCACTGGTTCTTTCTGAAGTATCAAAGTTTCACACTCAACACCCAACACGCATGAGAAAAGGGCCGAAATTAAAATACAACTTTCTCTTGCTAGCCTTGACAGTGCCCCAAATCCACCATCCTGGAGGCGGGTGCTTCATCTTACCCTATATGGGTTAGGTGCTGGGGGCACAAGTCCTACATGGTGAGTACAACCCGTACAATTAGTAGGCAGCAGTGTGAAGCTTCTGCTTCTCTTAGATTCATGGAATCGCAGAGTTGGAAGGGGCCATACAGGCCATCTAGACCAACCCCCTGTTCAATGCAGGAACAGCATACAGCGTCCCTGACAAGTTCTTTGTCCAGCTGCTGCTTAAAGACTGCCAGTGAGACAACATCACTCACGACCCCTCAATAGGATGTGAAAGTGAAGCTTGGTGAAAATGAAAAAGAGAGAGAACACGGGAGAGCTCAAACGTCATGGCAGGTTTCACATACAGACCAGAAGCTTGTTAAAAAAAATGCACCTGAGATTTGTCTGGATTGTTCTCTGGTCTGGATAACGGCCCAGGGGCAGAGGAGAAAAAGCCATTT